CTTCTTTATAGCTAAAAAACTACAAACAATAGCAGTAAAAAACAGTCATAAAGAAGAAGTGTTGATAATGCCAAAATAATGCATTTGAATATTTTAGTATTATCACTACTCACTGTTTTAACTTCAATAAGAGTACAGTTTCTGGACAGTATTCAAGGCCAATATATCACCGATTACTCAGTAAAGCAACAAATCTATAGTATATCCAAGACTATGTTTTAACAAGGGAAAAGAAAAAAAATACAGCATCTAACAGTTTCCTTTTAAGGGAGTAAGGACTAATAAGCAATTACAGAAAAACAAATTCATACTAAAATACTAACCAAGAGAAGAAACAAGAACTTCCATGTAGCCCAATATTGGCCAAACAACATTAGGCATAACTAAAGATTTTCTTGGAATACATACTCCACATTTTTGTTCAAATCTTGCACCAACACATTTGCTTTTATAGCTTGAGAGGGAACAACAACATCTAATATAGTGTCAGTTTTGTATTGCACTAGACCTTTGTATTCAGTTGATAGTATATTTCAAGTCACACACTTGCATCAATATTTGTGCTTTATACTTAAATTTTAGATAAATTAATATGAAGAGAACATTTTCTTAATGAAAATCTATCCCCGCACGCAAACATATATAAAAATAATAAAACCAAAAGCATTTGTAGAAGTACAACTCCATAAAAGTATATCCTGAGTTTCACATTACATTAAAATGTGGTGCTTTATACACAAATTCAGACAAATTAACACAAAGAGGACATTTTCTTAATCTATACACACAACACAAACACACACACTAAGTAAAGAGAATATTACCAAAAGCATCTTTAGAAGAGCATGTGTCCCAATATGAGCAAGTGCACTTTTAAGTCTTTCATGGCCTTCAAGCTCATCAACATAATATGAAACACATTCCCCTTGTTCAAAAGTCTCCACCAATACAGCAGGATGCACTAGGGGATAGACAGGCTTTGGAAAAGAGACATCCTTCCATCTGCGGAAATTATAGATGAAGCGGCTTAAATGTGCAGCCTCCCTAGCAAGATCAACCTGAGACATCATAAAAACAGCAAATTGCTGGACACTTTCATCCAACCTTAACCACTTAAGTTTAGGAATGCACTTTGATATCTTAGCAACTAGATTAATAATCTCGAAATCTCGTCTTATTGATTCACCTACTCCAGGATGCCTAACTTTCACAGCCACCACTATAGGCTTGATCTTTCGACCACGGTATGGATACAACAAGGAAGCCCTATGCACTTGAGCAATACCTCCAGATGCCAGAGGTTTCTCCTCAAATTCATCAAAAATTTCAGAAATCTCTCGACCAAATGCTTTTTTGATTGTCTTTTTCGTGTAAGCGAAGCTATGCTCTGGAGCTTTGGTGTGAAGCTTTGATAGCTCAGTACACAAATCTTTAGAGAAAAGATCAGGCCGTGTAGCTGCCCACTGGCCCCATTTGATAAATGCAGGACCTGCTCTTTCGAGTGTGCTACGGACTACCTGAAGCCACAGTTTCCTGAAAGAAGGTCCAAATGCATCAGCAAATGGGGCCATTACAATGCTAGGAGAAAAGAGTATCCCCAAATAAAAGGCCCTCAACAGCAGAACAAAACCTTCAAATATGGAATGCAGCACTGAGGTAACCAAAAAATGTCCGTTTTCAGCATGCCTGTAGAAGCTAGTCAGTGGGAGACCATACTCCAAGTCTGGTGATGCTTGTGCCAGTGCTATATTTCTTCCATACGTTAAGGCAAGAAAACTAGGGAGAATCACATAAGATCTGCTCAATGCCAAGCTAAGTGCTTGTGCAAATCGACTTAAGCGAATAAAAGTTTGCCCCTCATCGAAATATTTACGTGATAACTTCTTCCAAGCAACTTCTGCATGATTTCTTACAGCTGTTCCCGGTGAAGTCAATGAATAACTCCCATAGAAAGTATTACGCATTCTACGTGCTACAGATGAATCATATCCCCTAGTAGATACATATTGCCCATAAAATCTACATATAGGAGGACATACACCATTCCCAATAAGTTCTAATTTTCTCGCTTGTTCTGAGCAGATAGTAGTCCGATTTCGGCATAAGGATTGTCCAAGTCCTTTAGTTTTACCAACTGAAAAGATTCTGCATTCCAAGCACAACACAACTTAGCAGAGGCAAAATGTAAAACCAGTAGCTATTTCACTCTAAAAATAATTCCCTCTTTTGATATGTGCAACTAAAATACTGTTTCAAGAACAATAACACTAATTGGAATGACTACACAATGAAATCTGAATGTTCGTTCTCGTATGCAGAACTAAAATGCCCTAGTGCAAAAAGTACCCCAATCCTACCAACAGACCCATGGGACCCTATAAATACAGAAAGTATGAAACGTTGAGTTTTACTTACAGCAGTTAAAAAGCTTGTTGAAGAAAATTCCAAAAGGCCTACAGAAACCTTGCGATTTATTTTGCAGCCAACTTAATTTACTACTACTCTAATAAAAACATAGAGCTAAACAAGTAGAGTAGAAAGGCAAAATGTGCGAAATGAACAAGAAAAGGGCGTACCTTGACATGGCGAATAGGGAAAATTAATGGCGTCGCTGGTTGCAGAGGCTAACGTAGACGGGAGGTGAAGAGCATCGCCGATAAGCATTTTTCACAGATTGTATTTGTCGGCGATAAAGACCACACTATATGATATACGTGTAATTTTAAATGTGGCTTATTTCTTGTTTGCTGTTGTCTCCGTCTATTTTTATTTGTCATGATTTTCTTTTGTAGAGTTAAATTATAAGAATTTTGACTAATATTTACCATATATTTTTTCATCATATTAATATATAAAAAATTGCAATTTATAATATTTTTCGTATAATTTTTGAATATCTAATTTTTTTATTTAATGACAATTAAAAATGGACAGAAGTAATAATAAACAACACGCAATTGAATTAAAATAGCATTAGTAGAATTCATTCTCTAAATACCAAATTAATAAATATTTGACATGTATTTTATTACTCTAATAATTTACACAATTTAACTTTCAGATATTACTTACATCAAATTCAGTTGAGTTTCATCCAGAGGCGGAGCTAGGTGGGGGTTCATGGGTTCGAACGAACCCATTTACTTTTTCGTAGATTCTATATTTGTATTAAAAAATAAAAAAAATTATGTATATTAACTTGTGAACCTCAAACAAATTGATTTAGAATCCCAAACTTTTAATCTCGGCTCCACATCTGGTATCATCTTGAGATCCCTCTAAATGTTGTAAGAGGTAGCATATTGGAACTTTCAAAATGATGGATTTTTCCATCTTGCTTTAACGGATTTATCGGTATGAATCTAAATTAATTATGTTATTTAACTTCAGATTTTAGACACTTGAAATTAATAAAAACTACGTAGAGAGTTACTACGAGACAAATTAGCAAATGATTTTGTTATTATTAAAATGTAATGTCAAATGATGTTTTTTTAATCAATAAAGATGTGTTTATGGATTTTCAGTCACAAATAAACATGTGCGGTATAACAAATAATACATGTTATGTAATGTCAAAAATAGATCTTTTCCGTTCTTTGTTAACAATGTTTTTTTTATGTAAAGGAAAAAAAAAAAGACAATTATTAATTTTTATCCTTTGTGATTAACTGTTAATTTTGCGTGCAATGTTGATCAGTAAAATTTTAAATTTAAGCAAAAAGGTCAAAGGTTTAAACGGGAACTTTCTTAAATAGTTTGTTCAAGTTCTATGTGCACCACACATGACCGTGCACTAACGTGTTCCACCTTGATCCATATATACTAATACAGGGCATTGAGGATTCTTCAAGTATAACTTTATTTTTCTAAAATGGATTAGTTCATGGGATACTAAATTCTCTTGGTGGTGAATTTAACGATTCGGTCTCATCATTCACGCAATTTCCCCGTTCATTGATTGATCACACAAGTTCGCATATAGTACACGATTTGTTCTCGCTCCGCAACGTCTTCATCTTACACTATTAATATTTTCAAACAATATGACCCTTGCCGTTACATGCTTTATTCACTAAATTGATGTTCTCCATTCCAACAGTTGATTCTCAATTTCTCTTCATCGTGCTTGGAAATAGGTATCATACATTTGATGAAGAAGATCTCTGATCTGGTCGCTTCGTAATCATCTCTAACCTGCACATTGGAGAAATTGATGAATATCTTAAATCTTTCTCTTCTGCTTTTGAAATTAGAATAAGAATAACAATATATTTAGTGTAATATCATAAGTGAGGTCTGGAGAGGGGTGGTGTATACGCAGATATTACCCCATCTTGTGAAAAAGAAAGATTGTAGCGTAGTTTCAAAGAGCATGGAATTGTGTACCTTTTATAGCTAGATATAAAAATCTTACGCATTTGGAGTATGTTGAAGAATAAAAGAAACTATACAAAGAATTGGCAGGAAGCAGAAGCGTCGAAGAAGTTTCTTTGGATTATGGAACACCCAATTACCAGCAAAACCGTACTCCGTGACAAATCTATTTACTTGTAGGAAAGCCAATCTAATCATGTGCAGTTTTTTTTTTCTTGGAAGTATAAAACCCTACTCCATCACACATATTCTGGCCGCTTGGAATGTCATCTAAAAATTTAAGTTATTAAAAAAAGTAGAGGTTTATATAACACACTTGAAACATATAGATCGTCCCGGGCTAGACTGATATCTGCGACAGTAGGCGTTGGTGTGGCAAAATGAAAATAGGTTGCTTCCATTTTTACACAACTCCGATCCTTCTTACTATAAGAAAATTCTAAATTGTACATCGTTGTCCTATACTTACACTCCAATGATAAGAATTTTCTAGGAAAGTTCACAGATGTTCATTTGCCAATTGCAAGTCTCCGTTATGCAGTTATAAATAAGCCAATCTCCCTAGCTAGACTTGTCCATAACAAGAGAAAAGGAAAAAAAATCAATAATAATAATAATAATCTATATATCGATCGAGGAAGGAAAGATGATAGTGGAGATTGAGGAAGTGAGCAGCTGCGAAGCACTGCCTCTGCTTTCACTAAATCATGTGTCCTTGTTAGTGAGAGATGTCTGGAATTCTGTGCGCTTCTATGAAGATGTCTTGGGCTTTTGCCTTGTTAAACGCCCTTCTTCTTTCAACTTCCATGGAGCCTGGTAATTAATTAGCCTCTCTATTACAAATACAATATTCACACACACACACACACACATATATATATATATGCATGCTTCGTGTTTTAATATAGTAATTGCTTTGGTAAGGTTGTACAACTATGGAGTGGGGATTCACTTGCTTGAGAACAAAGGTATGGAGGATTACGATGAACCTCGACCAATTAATCCCAAGGATAACCACATTTCCTTCCAGGTAAATTTACTTTCATTCTTTAAACAGAGGCAGATCATGTAATATGAGTTCAGCCTAGCTAATCGAATCAAACATTTGACATTACTATGAACCCATAATTTCAAAAAGCACAATGTATTTGGGTTCAGTTGTTTTTTTCAATCGTTCCGATTTCCTAACATGTGTTGGAACTGCAATTAGCAGAGTAGTGATGTTGTGGTAGTGAAGAGGAGGTTGGAGGAAATGGGAATGCGATACGCGACTGCACTTGTGGAGGAAGAAGGGATAAAGGTGGATCAAGTGTTTTTCCATGATCCTGATGGCTACATGATTGAAATATGCAACTGTGACAACCTTCCTATTCTGCCCATTTCTTCAAGCTGCTCACTCAAGCCCCACAACTATTATAACAAAATGATTGCCACAAATTATGGATGTGGTTTCATGGAGAATGAGATGCTGGAGAACTTAAGCATGAACATGCTCAACTTTTCCTTCTAAACATGAATACCAGTGTGCAATGTGTGTGTGTGATTGGAAGTTCTTATAATTTGTTTGATTAAGTGGCTTTGTCCACAAGTTCATATCTTTTAAGCCTGTCTTGATACTACCTACACAAGTTAAAGCTTGAATAATTGAATAATTTTATTTTCAAACTATATATAGTTTGTATATTTACAATTATATGTTATTATTTTTGTTTGTCTCAAGATGGGAGAAAATAATATAATAGGCATTAAAGAAATGGATATTAGGTCTAATTCAACCTCAAAAGTTAGCTCAATAGGTAATCATAGACCACTTATCCCATAATTGACCCATGTGAAACTACTTTAATAAAAGACATCAACAATAAGGATGATGTATCGAGATCTAATTATACTAAGCTAGCTGCATTTTGGGGTTTTTTATTTTTATTTTTTGGGTAGAAAAATCAAACTCTACCATACTCGCTCGAGGAAACTTTTCCTAACAACAGAAAATTGGCGTAGTTTATGCACAGTTAAATAACAAAAACATTATAATCTACATTAAGTAAACTGATTTGTTGCTTATAATATGTGATTAGTGTAAACTAAATTAAAACTGCGATTACATTTGTACATAGTTTACACTTTACACCAATCTTAAAAAGTGGAGAAATTAGGAAAGTTTAATTTCATGCCTCCAAGAAATGTGAGGGTGTGGGGGTGTTGGAACCCAACAACAGACGCGACAACAACATATTTGTAAAATTGTGAGCTTATTGCCTCTTTCATGATGTTTTAGTTGCCCACTTAGGATGACCTATTAATGCATGTACATATATGAAACCCTTATGACTCAACTTGCTTCACAACAATCCAAACTTTAATAGATGAAACTAGAATGAGTTTAATTTATATAAATTAATAAAATAAGAAAAAAATAATATTATAAATAGTACTTGAGAAACTAATTACAAATAAATATTCAAATAAGTACGGATTTCTTTTTGGCATAATACATAAATATGGCCCTTAACTCGGCGTCAACTGACAACTATGATTTTTAACTTTGGGCGTGCACAAGTAAATACTTAAACTTGTATAAAATTGAACGAATAGACATATTTTGTGTCCAATGTGGCGTCCTACGTGTGTTCTGCCATATAAGACACATGTGTCTACTTGTTCAATTTTATACAACTTTAAGTGTCTTTTTATGCACATTCAAAGTTGAAATGCATAGTTGTCCGCTGAAGACAAGTTAAGAATCATGTTTATATATTATGCGTTTCTTTTTCATTGTCTTCGGCCTAACTTCTTTTCTACCATATTTGTTTTATATGAGTATATTTTTTTATGGATTTGCTTGAGTTGAGGGTCTATTAAAAAAAATTCTACCAATACACTCCGCTCTTCCTGTACATCACTTGTAGAATTACACTGAATGCGTTATTATAATATTCCTAATAAGTCAAGCTAATTAATTTTAAAAATAAAGTAGATAACCTGCAATGACAATTAACCTACACCGTGGAGTGGAACTTTTATACATAATCATCGATCACCAATATAACTGGGTGGGTGTTTGAATATAAAAATTGTGATATTTGAACAAAAAGCAATATGTTGAAATCTTTTTTGGGAGCTCCCATTTTTTTCATTTTTTTTTCATGACTCGAACTCGTACTTGAAAAAATGGAGAGATGTATTTAACTTGGAGAAGAAAAAAAAAGAGCAGAAATTTTGTAATCACTAAATCTGGTCAAAATCATTTTCTCACACTTGTTCATCTTCGAAAACTTTTAAATGTAAGTTTTAGGCGGAGAAGATGACTATGAAAATGGATTATGCTTCAAGCTGGGTCACCGGAAAGAATGTGTCAGGCATGAGTTAAAATTGGGATATAGGTTATACGAATTTTCTTAGTTTGATATGTGTTTTTTTATTAAAATTGTATTTACCTATATCTGTGTCAAAGTATAACGAAAAAATATATATATTAAAAATCAAAAAAAATATTTTCAATAGTATAGAAAAAAATAATATTGTGCGAACGAAACCGACAGGGCAACTAATGAATTCGCGATCAGTACTAGTAGCCACATGAAAAAAATAGACAAAAATTAGGGGACCAAACTTGATCAATCGACAAATCATTGGGATGCAAAAACAAAAGTCACGTACGGTTAGTTGAGAATGAGAAGACACAAAGGGGAACGTGGCATAATCACAGACCTCACAATTAGAGCTGTCAAAATAGGCTTGGTCCGCTAGGTCGATTCAATCAAATCCTTGAATTAGATAGGGATTGGGTTCAATTTTTTCAGCCCATTTAGGAACGAGGCTTTTTAACCTAGCCTCATTTGGCCCGCTGGCCTAATAGGCCCAATCCGCGAGCCTCAAAGGCCAGCCCGCGGACAGTAAATTTTAAAAATATTTATTATATATATTTTAAGTAATGTTTTACTTGTTAAGATTTTGTCAATAAATAATTTTAAAATACCAATATAAAATCAAGATTATATTTCTTATATATCTTTTACATTTTAGGGTCATTAGCCCACTAAATTTTCTTATTACCCTAAGTCCATTACTCCATTATAACTAAAAAATTTCAACCTCTTTTACTTTTTGTTTTTTTATGCCTAATTTTCCACTTCTCCTTTATTGTCTTGTTTATGAAAATAGTGATCATGTAATGTTTTTTGCTCGGATGAAACTTATGAATGTTGTATCTTGGCTATTATGTATTTGTTTTGTAAATATTCGCTGAAGTATGTGTAATTCATCAACACTCGTATTCTTTCTAAAAGGAAAATGTTATCCGTTTTTTGGTTGAAGGACAAACTCATCCTAACCCGTGGCCCGCTTAGAGATGGGTTGGGCTGCTATTTTATAGGCCCTTCAATTAAAAGGGTAAGCCCATCCCAACCCATTTAACTCTCTAACCCGTTAGAGTTGGATTGGGTTGGATTGGACCAGCCCATTTTGACAGCTCTACTCACAATGTGGCTTATACATTAAAAATAAAATCCAAAATGATGAAAATGGAGAAGCATAACTGAGAAGACAAGTTGAGCTGCAGGGTAATGGTTGAGATTGTTTCATCCTTAGTTAAAGATTTTGAGTTCGAATCTTAAATATGAATATTTTTTTTATTAGAAGCACCACCTCTAAATGGATCTTACAATACGTGATTTAAATTTTTGTTTTAATGAATCGTACCAGTGTTTTCAAAAACGTTTTTGGGGTGAGTCCTAGGGCGAGTTTAGGGGCGGGGTTACCAAAAATGCTTCGGGGTGTAAATTAAAGACGTAGATTCATTAGGCATAAATCCTAAAATTTGAGGCATAAGCTCTGAATATAAAAACGTAAGTCCTGGGCGTAAAACGTACACCCGGGTGTTTTTAATTTAATTTTTTATCTTTTTTGTTTTACATCATATTTTTATTACTAGTGTAGTGATATTTTTCAAATAGTAATTATAATACTTTTTTCCTTCATTATTGATTATTAATATTTATCTCAAATAAAAATCATAAATCATTAAAAGGTTTACTTTTACTTATTTTATTAGTAATAAAACTATAAAATTGAATATACATGAGACTATGCCCCGTAGATTCATGGGACTTACGCCCTGTGTCTCGGGGCTTTCACCTCGTCCTGTATTGTATAAAGTGTCTTGTCTCACACCCCGCCTTTTAAAACATTGGATCTTACGATGGGCAATTTAAATTTAATCAAAACAAAAAGAAAAGGCAGTACTCACTATAATATTAAATTTGATGGGCCAAGTCTAAGATATGTAACTGGTGGTTCATATTTCTCCAATAGGAATTATCATGGCCACACTCTTTAATCTTGTGGCTGTGATGTATTCCTTGTGTTGAATGATGATGCCAGTATATATTTTTCTTTTTAAGTTTTTCTTATTTGAGTGTATATTTTCCTTTAATAGATCATGGTGCTATATGGTCTAATTTTTCAAAACCCCAGCCAATAAGAAAAGTATCCTAGTACTAACTTACCATCAATTAGTTCAACCTTCACCAACATCCACAAAAATACTTCTTTACATTTGCTACGTTTCTTAAAAAACAATACAGTTGTTTGGTGTGAGAGATAAAAATAAATAGTGATGAGATTAGAAAATGGTGATAGGATAAAACTATTGTATCTTGTTTGGTTGCTATATTTGGGATAACTTATCCCACCATTTATACCATAGTGATGGAATAAGTTATCCCATATATATGGTGGGATAAGTTATCCCAGGATAGCTAATTCCAGAATTAGTTATTCTGAGACAACTTGTTCCCAACCAAACCACCCCAAGTATTTATCATAATATTCATACTGATAAATATGAAAACAAGTTAATTGTGTTTTCTTATATGTTAAAATTTAAAACTGACTAGTAGACACTAAGAATTTATTTTTAGAACAGTGGACAAGTACAACTAAATGGCCAGAGTATTTTTCTTTTAATGTATATTATATAATAGATGTTGAACTCCTTTTTGCTTTCTCGACTAATCTAAAAATTTGAACGGAATAAAAAAAAAATTAGCAGAATTTTATCCATTCACAAATCTCGAAGGAATGGTTAAGAAGGGAAGGATTTGGGTTTGTTATGAAAATATTGTTTGTCAATATATAAGAGTTGGTTGGTGAGTTGTATTCTGTATTGTGTCAAACTAGTGTACTATTCAACTTTCTCCATACTTAAAAGGTGCAGTATTTGTCTAAATAGACTAGTTAATTCTTGATAAAGATTAGTTGAAGGAATCTAGATAATAATATGAGGCTTTATATTGTTTTATTATTGGGTGAGTTGTGGTAGAAATGAATCATGCGGACACTTTGTGATGTTTGTGAAAGTGCTGCAGCCATTCTTTTCTGTGCTGCAGATGAGGCTGCCCTTTGCCGTGCCTGTGATGAAAAGGTCTCATTTTTACTCTCAAATTTAATACTCTACTTGTATGAAATTTTTCCATTTATATTTCTTGGAAATATGCTTTTGTGTTTTGAGTGAGTTGTTGGTTTGTTGTGTTTACCTGAATGTGTTCAGTTTTAAAGGAAGAACAGAGAACCGACCACCATCTGTTTGTGTAGTGAGGTGCAGATTACTTGTGTTGAGCATAGTTATATAATAAGCTACAAGTATAGGATGGTGCTAATTAGGACTAATATTGCCTAAGATTATGTGTGTCTTTAAAGTTATCTGTTTTTTGGTTAGCATCAGACAGTCTTGATTTCACTAGGCTTGTGAGTCAGTTTAGAATAGAGAGATCATGTTGCTTGTTGTAAGGCTTGCTCTCATAGGGCATTTTTTCTTATAAAGATCAAAAAGCATGCTGACCTGTTGAACAAATTGACATGTGTTCACAGTATTCTTAATTGTAAATTCTGGGAATCATTGCTTCTTCTCTTTGGTTCTAGTTTCATCAGTTCATCTTCTTTTATGTTGAAAAGTTTATGCTGTTAGAGAGGATATGCTTCTACTTACTTGGTTATATCTTGAACATCCCTACACGTGTGAATTATGTGATCACCTCATCTAAAAGATTAAGATGTTAGAGAGGATACACTTCAAGGTTCTTAAATTATATCTTCAACACTCATATTTCTGATCCGGAGTCATGAAAGGCCAAATCTATTGCAGGCCATCTGATCAACTTCTTATCTTGGTTTAATCGGCTAATATTGACAATGTTACTAAGAGACTTCTGATGTTTTCGTTCTTGTGGACACTTTTCAAATTTGGTCCATAGGTTCATGTGTGTAACAAGCTTGCTAGTAGGCATGTGAGGGTTGGACTTGCTAAGCCCAACGAGGTTCGTCGTTGTGACATATGTGAAAATTCACCTGGTTAGTGGAGCTTAAATCCGTCTTGTTCTTCAGTTGATTAGTTTCTTCTTCTGATTCCTTTTATTTTATTTTGTAATATTGTCCTACAAACAAGGGCCTGCAAAGTGAAACTAACTATCGGTAATTTCCTTTGCATTACACGTGAAGCATTCTTTTACTGTGACGTCGATGGAAGTTCTCTTTGTCTGCAATGTGACATGATGGTACATGTTGGCAGTAAACGAACACACAGTAGATATCTCCTGTTGAGGCAGAAAGTTGAGGTTGGTATTCCGTTGTATGAGTTACATGCTACTCTTAATATGTGCAATGTTTACATATAAGGTCATTTTTTTCTCTGTTTTTCTCATATAGTTTCCAGGAGACAAGTCTGGGCCTACAGAGGAATTAGCCAGGAAGACATTAGATCCCGGTGAAAATAAGAGGGATCATAGTCACTCACCAAAGCCAATGGTTAAAGACAATCAACAAAATCACAGGGGGTCTCCTATCCTAATTTCAGATGGGAGTGCAGATGGGCATGGCAAGAAGGACAAAATGATCGACTTGAATGTGAAGCCAAGTCATTTTCATGGTCACGCATCTAATCAGGTTAGCCAATTGTAATATATCTCGGAATAACTTTGCTATATTTCGTCAGTAATTTCAACTTAATATAATGCAGAATCTTCACATTCTCTTTTTTTCGTTTGAATGCTAAATATTTATCATCTGAACTAAACTGTCTGAAAACCGATGAGCCATTGGTTTATGTTATAAATTAGTGGAGATGAGTTTCTTCCAGTTTCATCAATTCATGTCCCTTCTTCTACTTCTCCCTTTTAGTAAGTAGAACAGATGACTTTATTCGTAATCTGGAAATTGAAAACCTTTCCGAACTAGAAGAAGGTTGCTGAAATGTCTACTGAAGAGATGTGTTTTTCTCGTTCTTATGTTTTCTTGTTAATGTCTCTCTTAATCTCCTGGCATCCTATTCATGAACAAATTTGAATAGAAGGTTCCGGCTTGAAGTTGCAGTTAACACTGTCAAGTCTATGCCAAACCAACTAGAATGATTCTACAGTAAATGTATTCTCAGCCCATTTCTGCTGTGCAGAACTTATAGGAGAAAACTTGACAGATTGTTCATAAAAAGGTTGATCTAATAGTATTTCCCTATTTAAGTTTCTAAGCATTACTTTTTGAACTGATTTTTTTGTTTTTCCTCAACAGGACTAAATCATCTTCAGTGATTGTTCCAGCCAGATATTCTATGAGCAAATGTTTGTGAGGCGTCAAATAGACCTCATGTGGCATGCATGTTCCACCTTTGCGCATATGACTGAAGCTCAGTAGCCCAGATTAGTAATCGAACAACATTTGGCAATTAGTGTTAGATAAAGCGCAAGTTCTGAATGCGTTGATTTTTCGCCAGTCTCATGATCATTATTTGCTTTAGGATTTAGTTTTGCCATTAAGACAACATTGAAGAAACTGCCTGCTGAAAGTAGCTGATGTAACTGAAGTTTATGATGATTATAGTAGAAGTTATTGTTGAAAGTCAAGAGGGGTGAATTAAAATTTCCTTTAGTCGACTTCCTGTAGTGGCCAGTCGACTCACCTGCACGTTAGTAGAATAAATAAACAGTAATAATAACTTGCAGTAAGTAAATAACACAGAGTGCTTTTATACTGGTTAGGATCACCGATGTGGTGCCTAGTCTAGTCCCCTTGGGTTACAAGGGTTTCCTTAAGAGCTTGTTGAGAACTTGGGTGTTACAGAATGTTACAATTAAGAGCCCCGTCTGATATGCAAATCAGATCTTCTTCTTAGACACAACCTCTACCTGTATAACCTACACTCAGATCTTTCTTTCTCTTTTTCTTTTCAATTGTTCACTAAAGTGTGTACAAAGTTTTATGAAAGATAAAAGAAGATTACAAGTGCATACTTCACATCTAAGTGTGAGGATGTATATATATATGAACAGACTTGTGCTCTTGTAAGGAAAACCCAACGGAGTTATACTTCAATCAAGGATTTGAGGAATCCCTTGATTGAGACGATTTGCTGATCCATGTCCATATTAGATATGTGCATGGTAAATTGCATTCCTTCCTTCTTGACAGATATGATTCAATTATGTACTTGGCTGAAGGATTTATCTTGACTCTTTGGCTTGATCTGATTTCCTTTCTTCTCTTGATGGCTTGGCTCTATTCTTGGCTTGATTGATGATTCCTTGATCTGGTTCTATCAATCACGATTTGCTTGATTGATCTGCTGCCAGCTTATTTGCTTGATTGATCTGCTGCCAGCTTTAGGCCTTCTGTTAATGATTGTTTAATCCCTTTGATTATGCCTTTCCTTTATGAAGTAATTGTAAGGATCAAAATATATTGCTTTCCATGTTGGTGTTGTTTTGCTTGGATCCTTTTCTTATTGGATCTTCATGCCTGCGAGAATTGTGAGTAGTGTGTTAAGTGTCGTTTATCAGAATTTACATAACATTAAGAAGTTAACAATTGTATCTTGAAATTTAAGGTCATTTTTAGGTGTATAGATTTTTTTTATGGTTTCTTGCTCTTGTATTGTTGTTCTTTTTCTATTCAAAAATTGATCAAGATCGACATGATCCTGTACGGCAAGAAAGTCATCACATTTGTTGCCTTCTCTCATTATATGTTCCCACGCCTCTAGCACTTCCTATTAGTACTTCTTTGCAATATTCTATCAGGGTTCTACAAGTATCATTACGCTTCGACTATTTCCTTCGCATAATTCCTAGCACGGAACTCAATCTGGAAATCTTGAATAGACAAAGGATTCATATCATAGAGGATGCCAAGATCACAGATAGCTTTTGCCTCTGGAAAAAGGGTATATGTCCAAATCTGAATATTTTGTTCAGGCATGTAGCTTTTGAACCTCTGTTGATTGGGTAGCAACCTACTTTGCTTCACTAACCAGAGTCATCTCAACTCTCTAAACTTCCGAAAAAAAACATTTTAAGTGTTTGGATATTTTATATAGTTCCTGAAGAAACATCATACGCGCTGCTTCCTCAATTCATAGTTTGCTGTTGGGTCAACGGCAAGTATTCTCCAGGATACAATTCTTGTGAAATAATCTCATTCTAAGTTTGGGAATTCACTTTGTATTTACTGCAAACTCTGTTTCTAATTGTCTCATTGAAAGTTAAGATCACAACTTTCATCTTAGAAGTAGAATGTTATTTCTTCTTTTACACTATAATTGATTTTAACTTAGTGGAGAATTTGAGCTCATTAACATAAACCAACAGAGCAGGATGAATGTAATAAATTGCTAAAAGCACACGGTATATGAACAAAACAGTCTTGAGGAGCAGCTATAAGCATTTATGCAGTTTGATTTGGCTACATTACATGCTTCATCATCAAATATCTATAGACTTTGGTAGACACTTAATAGACGTATCCCTTCACGAACATTCCCTTCTTGGCCTCATCGGACTCACCTTCACCGGTGTATTTCCCTAGCTGGGCAAGAGAGTTGGCCTTTGCTCTAACAAGCAAGGCATCCTGAGCTGCCTTCACATTTTCTGGTCTTCCACTCCAAGTCTTGAGGCATGTGTTCTGAAGGGCTCTGGCGTATGAGAACGACACGTGCCATGGGTTGGGACTTTGGTTCATGGCGTTCAAGTTTAGAGTTGCCTCAACTTCTGATTGTCCACCAGACAAAAACTGTGTATAATAAAATCATGAAAAAAGTTATAAGTCAAGTTTTTGGAATTATGGAAAAATATTTGATCTATCAGATATGTAGATACTTGCCATGATTCCTGGGACGGCAGGAGGGATTCTTTGGCGGAGGAGACTGAGGGTGTAGTCAGCAACTTGCTGTGGGGTGGCCTTCTCCTTGCACTCAGCTCCAGGGGTGACCATGCTGGGCTTCAACAAGATACCTTCAAACATGACATTGTTCTGGGCAAGGTAGAAGAAAACTTCAGCCCACACCTGCTTGGCGACTTCAAAGGTCCTATCAATGTTGTGTTCACCATCAAGTAAGATCTCTGGCTCAACGATGGGTACCAACCCATTGTCCTACAAGAATGAACAAGAAACTTTAGCTATTAATCATGTAGAAAGCTTAAATTCATACTACTAGTGCAATTTTTAACCGGTTATAGAAGGACATTACTCCATTTTACATGTTACCATATCACACTTACTATGAAAATTACCTACTATTGTAGGTAAATGTAACTTGATAGAGTGAAAAATCTACACATTGTTTGTGCACAGAACTTAAAAATTTTAGAGAGCTATGTGTGTTTCCACATCCTATGTATATGCCAACTTACCTGAGAAATAGCAGCGTAGCGAGCAAGACCCCAGGCTGCTTCCTTCACTGCAAGTGCAGAAGGACCATTAGGGATGCTCACAACAGTACGCCTGTAAGGTTCACAATGAAGAAGACAAGATGAGTTTCAAATTAAGTAATTATTGCTTTTACTTATAAAAGAGAAGCACTCTACCATTTGGCGAACCGGGCGCCTTGTTGGTAGTAAGCAGCAGAGCGAGAGGCAAGGCCATCAAGACCTTGGCACCATGATTCATTGTTTGAGCCAACCAAAGGAACAAGACCCTGTAGTTTAAGAGCAAAAAATATCAAACCCTTAGAAATACACGATGGAAGAATCCTTACACCTTTTTAAGTCACTAAGTTTAGATCTTTTACCTTGTCAACCTTAATACCAGGAACAATGTTCTGCTCAACAAGCACATCAACCATTTTCTTTCCCTCGACGGTTGATTGATAAAGTGTCTCCTCGAAGAGGATTGCACCAGAGATATACTCCCCTAGTCCAGGAACTGAAACTAGCAGGGTCCTGAACGCCTGGCGGTTAGCCTCAGTGTTCTCCATTCCGATTGAAGCTAAACGCTTCCCACAGGTAGCATTGGACTCATCCATGGCCAAAATTCCACGACCAGGGGACGCAATAGTTTTCTACACTCAATCCATTAGCTCAAATTAGCTAAATATGCTTCATTCATCTCAAAAAAGTTTTATAGAAAGGTTTAACACTTGTACTCCTAGAAAAATCTAATTAATCTCAGTTCATACATCACGTTATCTCGGTAATAATTTTCAACATTAACTAACAGCATCACTATCCATATTCAACAAAATTATCAAGAACTTGTAATAATACACTGTTCACTGTTTTGTCAGAAAAGGAAAACACTAGCAAAACTCTTCAGGCAAATTATCCAAGTAGTAAGAGATAATTAAGCAGTAAAAAGAAGATAAGTGCATGTTGTTAAGACTAAGTAAAATAACAATTGGTACTACATGAGATAGAAAGCTTTGAAGTCATAGCAATATTCCTCTTCTCATTTTATATAACAATATTTGACTTGGCACAGAATGGTTATATAAAATAACAGAGGGAGTATACAAGACTGTGTACCGCGGTTTTGACGAGCTCATCAGCATAGGAGCTAGCACGGACAGTGAGTGCAGAGGGAGCAGCCGGGTGACAGCGGACGGAGACAGATGGAAGGCGTAGGGATTGGCCTTTTACAAACTCAGTCTTGTCAAGGACTGGAGATGTCTTGAGGAGAGATGCTGATGCCATTTTCTTACTTTCCTTATCTTTCTCTCCTCAACTCCTGAGTATATCTTGTGTGTTCAATATACAGGCAGAGAGCGCCATGCTTACTGCATATATAGTTCTAAAAGATAATATCATTTGAGGCCATTATAGTTTTGCCAATTAGCTCTTGCCAGTTGGCTTGATAACTTGCTGACTTGGCTTGACAGACTTATGTAGGAATTTGCTAACTGATGGTTGGATTTCATTAGTCCTTATTTTCCTTATCATTTAAACTTCCTGTGCCACAAAATTAACTCCTTTTTGGAACTTTGTAAAACCATATAGGTTTGAGGCTCTAGTTGTTCTAAAGTAAAAGACAAATATGCTAATGTAGTCTAGTTTGGGTTCTGTTGAGTGGACATCAAAATTTAAACGAAGAATCTCACACTATAATTAATTAATAATCCTCAGCTATGTTTTAGGTGTCTGA